TTAATGTAACTGAGGGGCAGTTTTCTGATTCTGCCGCCCCTTGTTTGTGTGCTCTAGCTATTGGTTTTACAGCCTTAAAGCAGGAACACTGCCAGTCTTTTGGGTCTTCCAGTACAATTGTCAACGTTTTGCACTCCTGAGCCTGAATGAGGGTTGTACGGGGGAACAGAGGAAATAACTATTACTACTTGGCCTATGCAGACTGCTGCTTTGCCCTTAATGTAGAGAAAAGAACCAGGTTGTGGTAACCCAAAGGTGCTAGAGCTGCATAGTCTCCCTAGCCTCAGCATTTACCCGAGGTTAGTCTGTGAACTATGGCCACGTGACTTAGGGGAGAGAGCTGGATATTCTTATGGACAGACAAGTGATGCATCTGTCATCTTGCCAGCAAACTGGATTAATTTAATTACTGCTGCTTCTGGATTCCAGTATTGCTAGCGTTCGCAAGTCTTGTGTCTGTAATGACTCTTGGCCCCACCTCATAGAGTCCTTAAGAAGAGGGTGGGAAACTACCCTCTTTTAATTAGTAAAAATAAATTGCTAACCCCTGCACTTCAGGCTTCCTTTCTACCATTACTTCAGTGAACCCTAAAAGTTCAGAAACCAAAATGCATTGGTCAGAAGCTGTGGTGTGTATTCTCTTTTGTTTGTTTGAGGTTGGCAGGAGAGGAGACTATTGTGAAGCAAGTTTACAAAAAAAAAAAAAAAAAGAGTTGGTACAAGCAGAAACCAGTTTTTTGTTATACTCTGAGGCCCATTTTGCCCAAGGCAGCCTCTCCTGCCAGCATGTGTTCTGGGTCAGAAAACTGCTTTTTGAAGAGTTGCTTTTTATTAGTGCGAGAGGAGGATTGGAATTTGGCTGGCCTTTCCCCAGAGAAACACCTTGGGGAACTCAGCTCAGGATCTGTGAATGTGCTACACTGGTACAACAAGATAAGAGGAGGAAGTGCCTAATAAGATTGGAGAACCCTTGCGTGTTACAGAATTTTAGATAAATGTTTGACTGTGGCTATGGGCTTGGTATGGTTTAAAAAGCAACTCTAGGAGTGGGAGAGCCTCGAACAAGGTCCTACTTAGGGGTGCACCAATAGAGATTTTTTGGAGCTGATATAGATGGCTGATTTTTAAGGAGGCATATCTGCCGATGCTGATCCTACTTCTGATACCAGCGTCTAGCTGGTAAGTCTGTTGTGGTGGAAGGAATGGGTGGGTGCAGATTGAGGCCCCTTTGGTGAGTTGGGCAGGTGCTGCCCAGCTGGGGCAGGGGGCAGGACATGGTGCAGGGAGGGGGGTGGCACTCACTGCTGCATGCACCCTGGGAGGGCACCGGCGGGGGGGCTGTACCCCCAAGCCCCTCCCAGCACCACTGCTGCCAGCCCTGAGCACAACCCAGCCCATGCCAGAAAGAGCCCGGCACAGCCCCTGGCCCCAGCCTGTCCTGTGCAGATCTCAGGGCATTCCCCCCAGGGAACAGCGGCGTGAGCTGCCGGACAAGCAGCTCCCCGGATAAGGAGCGTGCAATGGTGGGAGCCGCGCCCCCTCCCTGTACCCCCGGGTGAGCCACGGCTCCATCCCATGCCCACCCTGCCTCAGCTGGGCAAGGCTTTCCCCCTCCCCCTTTCCCTTCCACCTCAGATTTACCAGCTCCACTCAGCTCTCCATGCTGCCCGGAGTGCTCCTCCCACCTATGTGTTGCTCTGTGGCTACGCACAGGCCATTTATCGGCCATATCAGGCTGATTTATGATACAGACAATTTTCTTTATCGGTGCCAATCCAATATCGGACTTTTTTTTTGTGCACCTCTAGTCCTCCTATTGCTTATTGTGTGAACTTGGCTAAGTTATTGCTCAAACCTATGCCTCTTTCAGGGTTTGCCTACAGTACTTGTCTCTCAGCTCCTTGGAAGTACTTGCATATATGTTAGTGCCTACAAAATATAAGGCTCCTCCTGAGCACTAGGGCTGGCTAAATGGCCATGTGAATACCTAACACCAACATCAGGAAGTACTGCAGGTTATCCACTGCAGTGGAATTTAAAGAACAAGGTGAATGGCTTCTGGAGAGGTTGACTACTTTGGGGCAAAATCTTTTTAGTGTAGTCCACAGCATCTTGTAGCTGGTATCTTTTTAGCTAGCTAAACTGTCTCTTATCTCCTTAATGTACAAAACTTCAGTGGGTCTGGGGAGCTGGCTGCTTGATAGCTCCAATGAGACAGACTTCTTGTGCAAGAGTGCATGTGGTTCACTTGTTGGGTTTGTAGCAATCATGTTGTGCTCTCATGGTAATGTCACAGGCTAAAAGTCTAGGGAACATCTCATAGTCTTCCTCTTTGACTGTAATCCCTGTTGCAACAAGAGTGTCCTTGACCTCTGCCAGACTAAATGAGCCATAGAGATGAACTCCCTCAGAGGTGGCTAGAGGTCCATGTGAATGACACTTTTTTTTTTTTGTTGTTTTGTTTTGTTTTTTGGGGTTTGGTTTTTGTTGTTGTTGTTGCATGCTAGGCTCCTAGTTCTGGGGGGTGGGTAAGGAAAACTAGTCTCCAGAGCTGTAAATTAAATTGAGAACAGTCTGTTCTGTTGACTCAACCTAGACAGTCAGGCTTCTGGTGGGAGCAGGGAAATTGCTCTTAAGTAGTCAAGGCTTATATGCAAATGAGGCTTCCAGCTATAGTCTGGAGCAAAACTTGCTAGTGTTTTCCCAAAGGTAGAGTGAGCCTATGCTGGTAATGAGATGTGCAGTGTCTATGGACATTGCAAATTAGAGCCCAGTGCCTGGTGACTCTTCTGAGAGACTGGAAATGAGGTTATTGTACATCACAGAATCTGGGAGGGATGTTATCACAATTAGCACTGTGTGGGGACTTGAGAGATGAGAAATTCCTGGCTGCCACAGATATGCCTGTATGTGCTCCGGGCAAGTCACCTTAATTGTCATGTCACAGTTCCACATCTATAACATAGGGAGATTTCCTTATCTCATAGGGTCTTGTGATGAAACATTAATGTTTGAGCTGCCCATATCTCCTAGTGGCATAAGGCCTGCACGTGGCCTGTACCAGCAAGATTGCACTTGCTTCACATTTTTCGTTAGCTTTTATACAGCTACACATGTGAGAGTTGCTCAAAACAGGGTCTCTGCCACAATTGCTGATAGTCAGTCTGGGTTGTATGGGGAAGAGGTTAAAATAATTCAAATGCAGCAAACCTGCTCCAACTTTAACCCCAGCTGAACAAATACTAAAATTAATGTATGGTGTACCTGCTGCCACCCTGACATAACCTTCCCCTTCTGAAAGGACCCCGACCATTTGTGTGTTCACACTGGAATCCTATAAAATCTCTGCTTATAACATGAGAGTGAGGACCCATCAGTGGGCAGAGGACCAAACCTAGTCCAGTATCCCGAAGCAGGTACAAGTTTGCCAGCTTCAACAAGAACTCAAAAGAGACTGAATGGACTCTGAACTCCAGAAATGACTATTGATAGCAAATGCCAGCTGGAGTATAATCTGTATTCCAGTTTGGCTCCAGATTTAACCTAAGTATTTAATAGGATTAAAGAGAAGCCTTGGACTGAAACAAAAGAACCTGCTAGGTTCCAATGATCTTTGCTGCATACATCCCATGTCCTGAGAATCTCTGACCTTTCTCTAGGTCTTGGAGAGAGTGCTTGCTGGCTGCTCACTGACTAAAGAGGGAAGTACTGAAGTCTCCTTTTACAGTGTCCCTCCCCTTTTAGAGTTTGGGTTAATATCAGCCAATTGCCAGTGCTACAAAGTATTTTGAGAAACTGCCAGCTTCCTGTGAAATCTGGGGGACTGGAAGATTGTATTTTTATCAAAAGAGGAAAAAGCTGAGATATAAGATTCTTTCTGCAGTCTGTCACTTAGCCAAGCTTTATTTCTTTAGGAGGAAACTGACTTGAACCCTGAACTAGTTTTGTTGGTTTCTTCTGAATGCCTTTCACTTGGTTTCAGTCATTTTGACACCCGTAGTACCCAGAACCATTTGCCAGATAAAGCCTTTTTTCCACAGTAATGTCTGATGGTTATACAGTCTCAAGTAGCACCTCGCTGCTGTCTCTTCTAGAATACTGCCCATGTAGGAATGTTGATTTGAACAGAAAGCTAATTCACATGATGAATCTGCTTTGGTGTGAGGCGGAGCATTGTAGCTCTGAAATAATATCTGGCTTGGCCTGCAGGTGAAATCATTAAGTGAATCGTGCCGCCTAAGATATTTTAAATCAAATCTGGGAAACAATTTCTTGTCATGTTCTCTCTGGAATGCATTTGCAGATGCAAGTCCTAAAATCTCTCACACTCCCTGTTCTTGCTTGGCCTGAATCATTAATGCTGGATGCAGGTGTTGGAGCCTGCACTACTATCTACATCCATAAACTATCTGTGTCTTCATATCCTAGCACTTCCACTTTTACATTGGAAAATTAAAACAAGGCTGGCTTTAAGTTTTTAACAAGTGTCTACTTGCTACCTACTTAATTGCTTCAACTGGTCATAAGCAACTGACCTGCACAGCATAATCACAGAACTACAGCTGCTATAGATGACTAGTTTGGAACAGTGTCAAATGAACCCAGCTTCTAAACTAACTTCTCAGCCCTATGGGCTATGGGTTCTGCATCCTTTTTCTAACGCTCTCTTCAGGCCTGTTGGAAGAGTATTCTAGGGAACTGAGGAGGTCAAATGGGCCCACACAAGGAAAAAGATGGAGAAACTCCTCTTGAAACTCACCTGAGTTCTCTGGCAGAGCAAGTCTTAGCTGCCTAATTAAATATAAAAAGTAAATGGATATTGGGAGGTTCCTGTCTGGTTAAATCTCTCCTGTGACTGAAATTGCACTGCAACTGGTTTAGGCCCTCTGTCTTCCTTCAGGAAACTTTTATCAGAGGTGATACTTTGGGGAGGACCACCAGACTGACCATCAGTGATTCAGAAGTGAGTGAACAGCTCACTAGCTGGCCTAAGCAATGCCCTTCTATAGAGCAAGCTGGTATGTGGCTGTTCCCAGCTGGCAAAAATGACAGCTATGTATGATGCCTCTTTGAAGTGGCCAGGAGACCATATGCTGATGTAATTTGTCTTGTTGCTTTACTTTATAGGTCCTGTGAGTGAAAGAAGATGGGGTCAGGCTGTCTGAAAGTTACCAAGTATTTCCTCTTCCTCTTCAACCTCCTCTTCTTTGTAAGTATCCTGTTGATGGGAAACTCTGGATTGGGGGTGTGCAGAAAGGGTTCTAACGTGAAATACATGGACAGGGCTTCGAAGGGAAAAATTGGTGTCTCTGACCCCAGTACTGTAATTCACCTGGGTCTCTTGCCCAACCGCTGCTTTTTCCCTGGTCATGTAAGCCCCCACCGACATGTAGGTTAGTGGCTGGGCTGTGCCTACCTGTTCTAGTTCTCCACAGACTGATCTAACGAGGGGGGACTTTCCCTGAGATTCGCCCTCCTCTCCTCAATGGGCTTGTGCCTCGAAAGCTGGAACCTGATATTTCCTTCCTTTTCCCACTTCTCCTGAGTTAGTCAAATAGATCCTTTTGCTAAATTTCATACAATATGTAGAAGTGAAAGAAGCCTGCTGGGCTCTGCTTTCCAAGCTCAGCCCTGGAGCAGCTGTACTTCAGACACCACAGTACAAGGAGTGAGGCAGCAATCCGATGCAGCACGCTGGAGAACTGGCCCAGATGTTGCAACAGAGCTACATCTGGATTTGGTTTCCCTTGGTTTGCTGTGCTGGCTCTTTTCTCCCTGCTTCCATCTCAAACCAGAATTCTAGCTAAATGTTGCTAAGGACCAGAGGTCATTAATGTTAAAAGCATGATGGGAGAAATCCTTAAAGGGCTGCAAAGGCTGTGGAGGGAGCTGATTGTTTAAGCCTGGCTTAGAAAAGTCCTTTTATGGTCTGCCTGGAACATTTTCCTGTCAACACAGGATCATTTGTAACAACCTATTGGTTCTTGGGGACCTCAGGATTTTATTACACCTATACTTTCCCAGAAAGGGACAAGGTGATACATCCCTTTGAGTAATATTTTGTACACTGTAACCCTGGGGTTGGCAACATTTTTGACCAGAGTGATGAAAACACTGCAGCCCTGACCCATGGCTCAACTTGGCATGCCAGGGGCAGGACTGTGGGGGAGCCACGTGGGGTCCCAATCCTCATTGGTGGTGGTGGTGGTTGAACATGCACATCTGGGCAGATGGCAGGGGAGGGGCCAGAGTTATGTTGCCTTGGCCCCTTCCCCACCCTGTGTCCCAAGAAATGCATACACTCATTGCTGGCACAAAGCCAGTGCTGGGACTCTGGAGCCCAGTGCAGCTGTTTGCAGCCTGCCTGCTACAGCTGCCCAGAGCTCAGGTTGGCTGTGACAGGCAGCCGGGAGATGGCAAACAGCTGCGCTGGGCTCTGTGGCTGTGGCAGCTGCATGTGCACCCCAGGCAGACAATGGGGAGGGACCTGGGGTAGCACAACCCTGGCCCACCATCCACCTGGAGACTTGCTTGCAGCCATGAAACTTGGACTCCAGAGCACCATGCGGCTGTGTGCACCCTCCCAGGTGCCTGCTACAGCCAGGCCAGGCTCTGGGCAGGCTACAAACAGCTGCACCAGGCTTTGGAGCACCGTCACTAGTTCTGTGGCAGCTGCGTGCATGTCTCTTTGCGGAAAAGAGGGGAGAGGCTGGCATTGTGCTGCCCCTCCCCTGCAGTCGGACCTCTCCCCCACCATCTGCCTGAGGATGGACATGCAGCTGCTGCCATGGCCACGGAGCCAAGCCGGGGGAACCCAGTGCAGCTGTTTGCAGTCTCCCAACTGCAGCTGGCCTGGGCTGTGGGCACCTGCTGCTCCCCACAACGCTTGAGCTGCTTGTAGCAGGGCTTGAAGCCTCCCTGGCTGCCTGTTGCAAGCAGCTTGGGCTCTGTGGCCAGTGGCAGCTGCCCAGAGCCCTGGCTGGCTATGACGTGCCAAGTAAAATGGCCTCACATACCATGCTTTGGCACATGGGCTGGGGGTTGTTGACCATTGCCTTAACATCTAGGGGAGCTGAGAGGCCTGAGGGAATGGGGAGAGACCCTAAAGTAAGAGGATCAGGCTTTGTAACCTGCAATTTCTAGTCCATCTCCATTAAGCCAGTTAAGTGAGGGAGGGAACAGCCCACAAATCATAGGATGAAGTGGTGAGAGGCACCATATTTTATAGTGGCAAGGTGGTCACCACCTCTAGAAACTGGAAGATTTTTGCAGGCTCCATATACAAACTCCATCTCCCCTTAGTGGAGGGAAATCGGCAGTTGTTCTCTCACCCTACTTTCATGTCTCGGTTTCCATTGTTTCTCTCCTTTTGGAACACAAAGAACTAAGGAGTAGGAAGACTGGGGTGATTGAGAGGAGTTGTCTTGTTGCTGAATAGCTTGAACTCCAGGAGCTCTGCATACAATTGCTGTGATGAGTG